TATATTACAAATTTGTTTAGAAATGTTCTTAATATGCTATCTGTTTTCAAGTTGATGAAGCGAAACAGAGGGAATAAGCTAGCCAAACTAATGAGAAAAAAAGGAATCCAATCCAGGCAGGATGCATCTTGGAAAATTGACAAAAGATGTAATTATTGAGAGTAATGGCACATTGTTGGGAAGCAAGAAGAAACAGCTAACCTTTTGTTAATGCAATTGAAGGGAGATCCACAGCATTTGTTCCAAGCCTGGGAGGAATAAAGAATTGTAAATGATTCGAGTTTGTTGGCAAAGTAAATAACAGGTTGGCTAAGTTCAAGAAAAGGCACATTGCAGTTCTTATCTCCATGCCTTCCAATCTGCCAATATATAACCAAGTCTAGAGCTTATTCTAGCCAACACAGACTTGAGTTTACTTTCCTGCAGAAAATACAACAATGGCAAAATCCAACCATGTCCGATCTATTAGCATTCCCAGCAGATCACATCCGAGCATTCAAAAGGTGGAAGAAGAGCTGACCAAGCTCAAAACATTACAAGTATCAGCCACGCCAGAAGCAGCTACAATCAGCACTGGTCTTCTTGGATTAGAAGAGCTTTACAGGTGCATGGATGATCTTCTTAACTTGCCACAAACCCTTCAAGCCCTCTCCCAAAATCAAAATCAGAAATGGGTTGATGGCATATTGGAGAAATCAGTGAGGCTTCTTGATATTTGTGGTCTAGCAAGAGACTGCATCTCTCAGTTGAAGGAACATTTGAGAGATCTCCAATCCTCCCTAAGGAGAAGAAAGGGAGATTCAAGTACTGAAGCCACCATCACCAGATACACTTCATTCATAAAGAAGATGAACAAGGATGCAAAAAAGTCAATTGCAGCAATAAAGAAAATCGATGATGAGATCGATGGATCAACACCCTTAGATGTGCATCATGACATCTCAGCAGTGATCAGAGCACTAAGAGAAGCAAGTGCAGTGAGCACTTCTATTTTCCAGTCTGTCCTGCTTTTCTTGTCTGTGCCAGTTTTGAAGCCTAAGCCATCTAGGTGGTCACTGGTTTCAAAATTGGTACAAAGTGGAAGAGTAGCATGCGAATACCAGCATGACAACACTTGCAATCTGGAGACATTGGAAGCTCAACTTGAGGCCATTGAGAATCAAATGGAAAGCATATTTAGGTGCATCATTAAATTAAGGAGCTCTCTCCTTAACATCATCTCTTGCTAAGCAATTGTATAGCAATACTTGTATTATCAATTTTGTAGTTACTTGAGACAAATACAATACAGAAGTGATAGTTTATACTCCAACTTGCATCTATCTTCTCTCTTAATCTCTTACTTGAAATCAAGCCCTCCCAGTAACTGCGAAAGATCAGTTAAAACAGTATCATTTGCAACACATCAAGATACTGAGCCATCCATGCACTTTAATACAAATCTTATCATCATACCAAGCTTTAACCAGCTAATCTGTATTAGTAATAAGATATCAGTATTTCAGCATAGCATGCATGATTCATGTTTTGGGTGGTCATGCAAAGGATCTATCATATTTTCTGATTAGCTTTATTCTGTTGTGAGATTTTTCCAAACATCAGAAGCATAAATTTTCCTAGATTTAATTTAGATATCATTCCTCTTGCCTGTGTTAACCACTCCTTGTGAACAAAAGGAAAAATTACAACCCAGAACAGTGCAGGTTAACTAGGATGAAAGTGACAAGACCTGTCACTACCCTTGGCTCTTTTCTTGTCCTTCGATCCCCAAATCTCAATCAAAGTAGATATAATATCTTACAACTGTTTCATAACATTGTATATGCAACACAAAAGCTGAGTATTGAAGGAAACTCCTAGGTTTTTATTACAATTACTTTGTGCATGTGTATTAAGGTAATGTATAAACAAGCTAAGTCACATATGTTTTCAAGAATCAAAGGGGCAGAAATGGTGAGATGCCTGGTCCAAATTCCAAGACAACTAAAGAAATGATTATCAACACAAATTGCAGATGGCAATTACAGTTTTTGCTAACCAAAGGTGTGACCATCTAACCAGACTTCAGCAGGAAAGCACATGACTATCACATTGATCTGAAGCATCCTATTACGTGTCTTGTCTCCCATCAACATTGTTTGTTCCAAGGAAGTCACAAGAGATTATTAAAGTCAATTTTGCAATGCAGATATAAGTTGTGTACATGTGTGTGTGGTTTTCCCAATACCTCAAACATGTCCTGGAAAATGGTGATCTTCATATATTTCTTTAATCACATCATCTCTGACGTCTTGCATTTGGCAAAACCACCGATTCTGACCAGCCAAACGTGCATATAATATAGGATTTCATCCGTTCAGTCGTGCAAAGTTATGGGATGGTGGAGAATAAAAAAATCTACTGATCTACCGAAACAAAATTGTCATCATGATTATGTTCCCTTTCTGTTATGAATGGAGCAAAGTTGCTATGGGGTAAAAATCTTCTGGTGCCTGGCAGGTAGGAGAAAGCATAATCTTCACGAACTAAACAATGATAGTATTATAGTTAACACCTATTATTCATTTTAAAACTTGGAGAATTGAAAAATAGGAAACTGTATTATGAGTATTGTTGGTCAAACTAAAATTGAGAACATATTTCTTTTTTTTTTTTTTAAACCGCAAACTGATCTGGTTCTTACAACTAGGCTAATGACAGCCATGTTTGCTTCTATATAGCCTATAGAGAATAAAGTAGAAGGAAAAAACAAAAACAGCCAAGAAACAAGGCATGCATGTAATACAGATAAAATAATCACAACCCACATGAATGCATTAATGATTGAGGGGTTTTATATTACAACTTTGTTATGAAATGTTTTTAATACGCTTCTGTTTTCAAGTTAGTGCATGCGGTTCATGCAGCGAAACAGACGGAATAAGCAAGCCACATGTTTCTAAACTAATGAGAAATAAAAAGGAATCAAATCCACGCACTATGCATCTTGGATAATTGACAAGAGATGTAGTTGACAGAAATGGCACACTAGTTGGGAGGCAAGAAGAAGCAGCTAACCTTTATTAATGCATTTGAAGGGAGATCCACATCATTTGTTCCAAGCCTGTAAGAAATAAAGAATTGTAAATCATTAGAGTTTGTTGGCAAAATAAGTAACAGGTTGGCTAAGTTCAAGGAATGGCACATTGCACCACATGCAGATAACAATACTACATCCTAGTGCTAATTCTATGTCCATACCTTCCCATCTACCAATATATAACCAAGTCTAGAGCTTATTCTAGCCAACACAAAGGTTGAGTTTACTTTCGAGAAAATACAACAATGGCAAAATCCAACCACATCCGATCTATTAGCTTTCCTAGCAGATCACATTCAAGCATTCAAAAGGTGGAAGAAGAGCTGACCAAGCTCAAAACATTACAAGTATCAACCACTCCCGAAGCAGCTACAATCAGCAGTGGTCTTCTTGGACTAGAACAGCTTTACAAGTGCATGGATGATCTTCTTAACTTGCCACAAGCCCTTCAAGCCTTCTCCCAAAATCAAAATCAGAAATGGGTTGATGGCTTATTGGAGAAATCAGTGAGGCTTCTTGATATTTGCGGTCTAGCAAGAGACTGCATCTCTCAGTTGAAAGAACATTTGAGAGATCTCCAATACAACCTAAGGAGAAGAAAGGGAGATTCAAGTACTGAAGCCACCATCACCAGATACACTTCATTCATAAAGAAGATGAACAAGGATGCAAAAAAGTCAATTGCAGCAATAAAGAAAATCGATGATGAGATCGATGGATCAACACCCTTAGATGTGCATCATGACATCTCAGCAGTGATCAGAGCACTAAGAGAAGCAAGTGCAGTGAGCACTTCTATTTTCCAGTCTGTCCTGCTTTTCTTGTCTGTGCCAGTTTTGAAGCCTAAGCCATCTAGGTGGTCACTGGTTTCAAAATTGGTACAAAGTGGAAGAGTAGCATGCGAATACCAGCATGACAACACTTGCAATCTGGAGACATTGGAAGCTCAACTTGAGGCCATTGAGAATCAAATGGAAAGCATATTTAGGTGCATCATTAAATTAAGGAGCTCTCTCCTTAACATCATCTCTTGCTAAGCAATTGTATAGCAATACTTGTATATAATCAATTTTGTAGTTACTTGAGACAAATACAATACAGAAGTGATAGTTTATACTCCAACTTGCATCTATCTTCTCTCTTAATCTCTTACTTGAAATCAAGCCCTCCCAGTAACTGCGAAAGATCAGTTAAAACAGTATCATTTGCAACACATCAAGATACTGAGCCATCCATGCACTTTAATACAAATCTTATCATCATACCAAGCTTTAACCAGCTAATCTGTATTAGTAATAAGATATCAGTATTTCAGCATAGCATGCATGATTCATGTTTTGGGTGGTCATGCAAAGGATCTATCATATTTTCTGATTAGCTTTATTCTGTTGTGAGATTTTTCCAAACATCAGAAGCATAAATTTTCCTAGATTTAATTTAGATATCATTCCTCTTGCCTGTGTTAACCACTCCTTGTGAACAAAAGGAAAAATTACAACCCAGAACAGTGCAGGTTAACTAGGATGAAAGTGACAAGACCTGTCACTACCCTCGGCTCTTTTCTTGTCCTTGGATCCCCAAATCTCAATCTAAGTAGATATAATATCTTACAACTGTTTCAAAACCTTGTATGTAAAACACAAAAGCTGAGTATTGAAGGAAATTCCTAGGTTATTATTACAATTACTTTGTGTAGGTTGTATTAAGGTAATGTATAAATTAAACAAGCTAAGTCACATATGTTTTCAAGAATCAAAGGGCCAGAAATGGTGAGATGCCTAGTCCAAATTCCAAGACAACTAAAGAAATGATTAACAACACAAATTGCAGATGGCAATTACAGTTTTTGTTAACCAAAGGTGTGACCATCTAACCAGACTTCAGCAGGAAAGCACATGGCTATCAAATTGATCTGAACCATCCTATTACGTGTCTTGTCTCCCATCAAGATTGTTTGTTCCAAGGAAGTCACGAGAGATTATTAAAGTCAATTTTGCAATGCAGATATAAGTTGTGTACATGTGTGTGTGGTTTTCCCAATACCTCAAACATGTCCTGGAAAATGATGATCTTCATATATTTCTTTAATCACATCATATCTGACGTCTTGCACTTGGCAAAACCACCGATTCTGACCAGCCATACGTGCACATAATATAGGATTTCATCCGTTCAATCGTGCAAAGTTATGGGTTGGTGGAGAATAAAAATATCTACTGATCTACAAAAACAAAATTGTCATCATGATTATATTCCCCTTCTGTTATGAATGGAGCAAAGTTGCTATGGGGTAAAAATCTTCTGGTGCCTGGCAGGTAGGAGAAAGCATAATCTTCACCAACTCAACAATGATAGTATTATAGTTAACACCTATTATTCATTTTGAAACTTTGTGAATTGAAAAATAGGAAACTGTATTATGAGTCTTGTTGGTCAAACTAAAATGAAGAACATATTTCCTTTTTTTTTTTTTTTTTTTTTTTTCTAAAGGATACTAAAACCGCAAACTGATCTGGTTCTTACAACTAGGCTAATGACAGCCATGTCTGCTTCTATATATAGCCTATAGAGAATAAAGTAGAAGGAAAAAACAAAAACAGCCAAGAAACAAGGCATGCATGTAATACAGATAAAATAAGCACACAACCCACATGAATGCATTAATTATTGAGGGGTTTTATATTACAACTTTGTTTTGAAATGTTTTTAATACGCTTTCTATTTTCAAGTTAATGCATGAGGCTCATGCAGCGAAACAGACGGAATAAGCAAGCCACATGTTTCTAAACTAATGAGAAATAAAAAGGAATCAAATCCACGCACTATGCATCTTGGATAATTGACAAGAGATGTAGTTGACAGTAATGGCACACTAGTTGGGAGGCAAGAAGAAGCAGCTAACCTTTATTAATGCATTTGAAGGGAGATCCACATCATTTGTTCCAAGCCTGTAAGAAATAAAGAATTGTAAATCATTAGAGTTTGTTGGCAAAATAAGTAACAGGTTGGCTAAGTTCAAGGAATGGCACATTGCACCACATGCAGATAACAATACTACATCCTAGTGCTAATTCTATGTCCATACCTTCCCATCTACCAATATATAACCAAGTCTAGAGCTTATTCTAGCAAACCACAAACAAAGTTTGAGTTTACTTTCCTGTTACACACAGAAAATACAACAATGGCAAAATCCAACCACATCCGATCTATTAGCTTTCCTAGCAGATCACATTCAAGCATTCAAATGGTGGAAGAAGAGCTGACCAAGCTCAAAACATTACAAGTATCAACCACTCCCGAAGCAGCTACAATCAGCAGTGGTCTTCTTGGACTAGAGCAGCTTTACAAGTGCATGGATGATCTTCTTAACTTGCCACAAGCCCTTCAAGCCTTCTCCCAAAATCAAAATCAGAAATGGGTTGATGGCTTATTGGAGAAATCAGTGAGGCTTCTTGATATTTGCGGTCTAGCAAGAGACTGCATCTCTCAGTTGAAGGAACATTTGAGAGATCTCCAATCTTCCCTAAGGAGAAGAAAGGGAGATTCAAGTACTGAAGCCAGCACCACCAGATACACTTCATTCATAAAGAAGATGAACAAGGATGCAAAAAAGGCAATTGCAGCTATAAAGAAAATGGATGATGAGATCGGTGGATCAACACCCTTAGATGTGCATCATGACATCTCACCAGTGATCAGAGCACTAAGAGAAGCAAGCGCAGTGAACACTTCTATTTTCCAGTTTGTCTTGATTTTCTTGTCTGTGCCAGTTTTGAAGCCTAAGCCATCTAGGTGGTCACTTGTTTCAAAATTGGTACAAAGTGGAAGAGTAGCAAGCGAGTATCAACATGACAACACTTGCAATCTGGAGACATTGGAAGCTCAACTTGAGGCCATTGAGAATCAAATGGAAAGCATTTTTAGGTGCTTGATTAAATTAAGGAGCTCTCTCCTGAACATCATCTCTTGCTAAGCAATTGTAAAGCCATACTTGTATATAATCAATTTTGTAGTTACTCGAGAAATACAATACAGAAGTGATAGTTTATACTCCAACTTGCATCTTCTTCCCTCTTAATCTCTTATGTGTATCAAGCCCTCCCCAGTAACTGCAAAAGATCTGTTAACAAATAACAATATCATTTGCAACACATCAACATAATGAGCCATTCATGCACTTTTATATAAATCTTCATAACATGTTTTAACCAGCTAATCTGCATTAGTAACCATATACCAGTAATTCAATATATCATGATTCATGTTTTGGGTGATCATGCAAAGGATCTATCATACTTTCTGATTAGCTTTATTCTCTAGTGATATTTTTCCAAACTTCAGAAGCATAAATTTTCCTAGATTTAATTCAGATATCATTCCTCTTGGCTCTGCAAAGAGTTACTCCTTGTGTACATGTTAAATTACAAGCCGGAATAGTGCTGATTAACAAGGATGAAAGTGACAAGACTTGTCACTACCCTCAACTCTTTTCTTGACCATGGATCCCCAAATCCCAATCTAAGCAGATACAATTTCTTACAACTGTTTCATTACCTTGTATGTGCAACACAAAACTGTGTATTGAAGGAAATTCCTAGGTTTTTATGAGAATTACTGCGTATGTATATTAAGGTAATGTATAAACCAGCTAAGCCACATATGTTTTCAAGAGTCGAAGGGGCATAAATGGTGAGATGCCTGGATCCAAATTCCAAGGCAACTAAAGAAATGATTATTAACACAAATTGCATATGGCAAGAAGAGTTTTTGTTAACAAAAGGTGTGACAGTCTAACCAGACTTTCAGCAGGAAAGCACATGGCTATCACATTGATCTGAACCATCCTATTACCTGTCTCGTCTCCCATCAAGATTGTTTGTTCCAAGGAAGTCACAAGAGATTATTAAAGTCAATTTTGCAATGCAGATATAAGTTGTGTACATGTGTGTGGTTTTCCCAATACCTCAAACATGTCCTGGAAAATGATGATCTTCATATATTTCTTTAATCACATCATCTCTGGCGTCTTGCACTTGGAAAAACCACCGATTCTGACCAGCCATTCGTGCACATAATATAGGATTTCATCCCTTCAATCGTGCAAAGTTAAGGGTTGGTGGAGAATAAAAATATCTACCGATCTACCGAAACAAAATCATCATCATGATTATGTTCCACTTCTGTTATGAATGGAGCAAAGTTGCTATGGCGTAAAAATCTTCTGGTGCCTGGACGGTAGGAGAAATCATAATCTTCACCAACTCAACAATGATAGTATTTTAGACTTATAGTTAACACCTATTATTTGTTTTGCAACTTTGGGGATTGAAAAACAGGAAACTGTATTATGAGTCTTGTTGGTCAAACTAAAATGAAAAAAAAAAAAAAAAATAGAGAGAGAGGATACTGCAACCACATACAGACCTGTTTCTTACAACTAGGCTAATGACAGCCATGTCTGCTTCTATATAACCTATAGAGAATAAAGTAAAAGTAAAAAAAAAAAAAAAAAAAAAAAAAAAAAGCCAAGAAACAAGGCATGCATGTAGTACAGAAAAATAATCACAACTCACTTGAATGCATAAATGATTAAGAGGTTTTGTATTACAACTTCGTTTCGTAACGTCTTTACTATGATCTCTGTTTTCAAGTTGATCCATGAGGTTCATGCAGCGAAACAGAGGAATAAGCTAGCCACATGTTTCAGAACTAATACGAAAAAAAGGAATCCAAGCCACGCAGTATGCATCTTGGAATCTCCTGATTAGCTTATGTGTGTTAGTAATCAGATCCAATCAGTGTATCATGTTCTGGGTGATCATGCAATGGAGCTATGACATTTTCTGATTAGCTTTATTCTCTTGTGAGATTTTCCTAGGCATCAGAAGCATAAATTTTCCTAGATTTATATCAGATATAATTCCCATTGCCTCTGCATAGCTTTAACCACTCCACCTGATCAAAAGGTAAAATAATAAGCCTGGAGCAATGCTGGTTTAACTAGGATGAATGGCGACCACCCTCTGCTCTTTTCATGACCTTAGATCCCCAAATCTAAACCTGAGTAAATAGAATTTTCCTGTAATTGTTGCTTGTCCTTGTATGTGCTACCCAAAAGCTGAGTATTGAAGGAAATTCCTAGATTTCCACATTGATCTGAGCCTTCCATTACCTGTCTCGTCTCCCATCAAAATTGTTTCTTCTATGGTGGTCACAACAGATTATTAAACTCAATTTTGTAATGCAGATATAATTAAGTCATGTACACGTGTGTGTGGGTTTCCCAATACCTATATGTTAAAGCAGAAAACGTGTTCGTGGGAAATGACGATCTTCTTATATTTCTTTAGCCACAGCATCTCCGAAGTCTTGTGCTGGCAAAACCACCGATTCTGACCAGCCATACGTGCACATAAGAAAGGATTTCTTCTCTTCCCTCGTGCAAAATTTTGGGTTGGCAGAGAACCAATATATCTACAGATTGAAACAAAATTGTCATGATAATTATGTTCCTCTTCTGTTATGATGGGGTATAAACCTTCTGGTGCCTGGCAGGTAGGAGGAAGCACAATCTTCACCAGCTCAACAATGATAGTATTTTATAGTTAACACCTAGGGTAAACCTTGCCTTGTGACTCTAGCCGGAAAAAGACAACAAAGAGGTAAACCAGCCTAGATTTTCCATAGTTGACCGGCTCAAACCAAGAAGACCAATGACCAATAGGCCACTCCTGCTAGGAGTCAAACATGTAACCATGTGGTTACTAAATCAATAGCCTGACCAACTTGGTTGGTGTTGCAACTTTGAGGATTAACAAAATGGGAAACTGTATTAATGTATTGTTTATGAAACTAAAATGCAGAAACCATTTCCTAAAATCAAAGATATTTGCATGCTGATACCACATTCTGATCTGATTCTTACAGCCAGGCTAATGGCAGCCATGTCTCCTTCTATATAGCCTATGGTGAATAAAATAGTAGGGGAAACAGCCAACAAGGCATGCGTGTAGTACAGATAAATTAATCACAACCCACATGAATGCATTAATAATTAAGAGTTTTTATAATGCAACTTTGTTTTGAAATGTTTTTAATATCTTTTCTGTTTTCAAGTTGATACATGAGGTTCATGCAGCGAAACAGACGGAATAAGCTAGCCACATGTTTTTGAACTAATGAGAAAAAAAGGAATCCAATCCAGGCAGTATGCATCTTGGATAATTGACATGAGATGTAATTGACAGTAATGGCACGCTGGTTGGGAGGCAGGAAGAAACAGCTAACCTTTTATTAATGCAGTTGAAGGGAGATCCACAGCATTTGTTCCAAGCCTGGGAGGAATAAAGAATTGTAAATGATTAGAGTTTGTTGGCAAAGTAAATAACAGGTTGGCTAAGTTCAAGGAATGGCACATTGCTGTTCTTATCTCCATGCCTTCCAATATGCCAATAATCCCAATATATAACCAAGTCTAGAGCTTATTCTAGCCAACACAAGCTTGAGTTTACTTTCCTGTTACACACAGAAAATACAACAATGGCAAAATCCAACCACGTCCGATCTATTAGCTTTCCTAGCAGATCACATCCAAGCATTCAAAAGGTGGAAGAAGAGCTGACCAAGCTCAAAACATTACAAGTATCAGCCACGCCAGAAGCAGCTACAGTCAGCAGTGGTCTTCTTGGATTAGAAGAGCTTTACAGGTGCATGGATGATCTTCTTAACTTGCCACAAACCCTCTCCCAAAATCAAAATCAGAAATGGGTTGATGGCTTATTGGAGAAATCAGTGAGGCTTCTTGATATTTGTGGTCTAGCAAGAGACTGCATCTCTCAGTTGAAAGAACATTCGAGAGATCTCCAATCTTCCCAAAGGAGAAGAAAGGGAGATTCAATTACTGAAGCCAGCATCACCAGATACACTTCAATCATAAAGAAGATGAACAAGGATGCAAAAAAGTCAATTGCAGCAATAAAGAAAATCGATAATGAGATCGATGGATTAACACCCTTAGATGTGCATCATGACATCTCAGCAGTGATTAAAGCATTAAGAGAAGCAACTACAGTGAGCCTTTCTATTTTCCAGTTTGTCATGCTTTTCTTGTCTGTGCCAGTTTTGAAGCCTAAGCCATCTAGGTGGTCACTTGTTTCAAAATTGGTACAAAGTGGAAGAGTAGCAAGTGAGTACCAACATGACAACACTTGCAATCTGGAGACATTCGAAGCTCAACTTGAGGCCATTGAGAATCAAATGGAAAGCATCTTTAGGTGCTTGATTAAATTACGGAGCTCTCTCCTGAACATCATCTCTTGCTAAACAATTGTAAAGCCATACTTGTATATAATCAATTTTGTAGTTGCTCGAGAAATACAATACAGAAGTGATAGTTTATACTCCAACTTGCATCTATCTTCCCTCTTAATCTATTATGTGTATCAAGCCCTCCCCAGTTAGGCCCAGTTACTGCAAAAAGATCTGTTAACAGTATAGATTTGCATAAATACAAATCAAAGAGGGCATCAAGATAATGACCCAGCCATTCATGAACTTTTAATACAAATCATATCTTCATAATGTACGTTAACCAGCTTATGTGTATTAGTAATCAGATCCAATCAGTGTAGCTTGATTCATGTTCTGGGTGATCATGCAATGGAGCTATGATATTTTCTGATTAGCTTTATTCTCTTGTGAGATTTTCCTATACAACAGAAGCATAAATTTTCCTAGATTTATATCAGATATCATTCCCATTGCCTCTGCAAAGCTTTAACCACTCAACCTGATCAAAAGGTAAAAAGTGGAGCAGTGCTGGTTTAACTAGGATGAATGTCACCACCCCCTGCTATTTTCATGACCTTGGATCCCCAAATCTAAATCTGGGTAGATATAAGTTTCCTGTAATTGTTTATTGTCAATAGTTGTCATTGTATGTGCTACCAAAAGCTGAGTATTGAAGGAAATTCCTAGATTTTTTATGAGGATTACTATGTGATGTGTATGTGTATTAGGGTCTTCTAACCATGAATGTTATAGAGACAAGCCATGTACATTTTCAAGTGGTGAAGTGGCAAAAAATGACGAGGTGCCTGGATCCAAGACGAGTAAAGAAATGTTTATCTACACAAAAATTGCAGATGAGGATTACAATTTTGTGTTAGCCAAAGGTGTGACAGTCTCACCAGACTTGCTGCAGGAATGCACATAGCTATCACACTGATCTGAGCCATTCCATTACATGTCTTGTCTCTCTGAAAAATCATGTGTTCTATGGAGGCCACAACAGATTATTAAAGTTAATTTTGTAATGCAGTATTGCAGTGTACACAGTTGCACACTGGTGGTGATTTTCCCAATACCTCAATGTTAAAGCAGAAAACGTTTCGTGGAAATCGATGATCTTTATATATTTTCAACCACAGTATCTTCAAAGTCTTGTGCTTGGCAAAACTACAGATCCTGACCAGCCATACGTGCACATAATATAGGATTTCTTCCCTAAATGATTATGGGGTATAAACCATCTGGTGCCTAGAAGGTAGGAGGAAGCATAATCTTCACCAACTAAACAATGATAAGATTATAGTTAACACCTACTAATCATTTTGCAACTTTGAGGATTAAAAAAGAGGAAACTATATTAAGAATCTTCTTGGTGAAACTAAAATGCAAAACCCATTTTTGAAAATCAAAGAAATTAGCATTCTGAAAGTGGTACAGATAAATTAAGAGGTTTTATATTAAAACTTTGTTTTCAAATGTTTTAAATACTTTCTCTGTTTTCAAGTTGATGCATGGGGTTGATGAAGAGAAACAGAGGGAATAAGCCACATGTTTCTGAGAGTAATGGCACACTGGTTGGGAGGCAGGAAGAAGCAGCTAACCTTTTATTAATGCAGTTGAAGGGAGATCCACAGCATTTGTTCCAAGCCTGGGAGGAATAAAGAATTGTAAATGATTAGAGTTTGTTTGCAAAGTAAATAACAGGTTGGCTAAGTTCAAGGAATGGCACATTGCATCACATGCTATTCCTATCTCCATACCCTCCCATCTGCCAATATATAAGCAAGCCCAGACCTTATTTTAGCCAGCACAAGGTTGAGTTTTCTTGCCTGTTAAAAAGAGAAAAAGTAGAACAATGGCGAAATCCAACCACATCAGATCTTCTAGTTTTCCCAGTATATCACATCCAAGCATCAAAAAAGTGGAAGAAGAGCTGAACAAGCTCAAGACATTACAAGTTGCATCCATTCCTGAAGCAGCTACAATCTGCACTGGTCTGTTTGGATTAGAGCAGCTTTACACATGCATCGATGATCTTCTTATCTTGCCACAAACCCTTCAAGCCATAACCCAACATCAAAACAAGAAATGGGTTGATGACTTATTGGAGAAATCAGTGAGGCTTCTGGATACTTGTAGTCTAGCAAGAGACTGCATCTCTCAGTTGAAAGAACATTTGAGAGATCTCCAGTCCTCCCTAAGGAGAAGAAAGGGAGACTCAAGTACTGAAGCCAGCACCAGGTACACTTCATTCATAAAGAAGATGAACAAGGATGCAAAAAAGTCAATTTCAGCTCTAAAGAAAATGGATGAAGAGATTGACGGATCTACAGCCTTAGATGTGCATCATGACATCTCAGCGGTGATCAGATCACTAAGGGAAGCAAGTGCAGTGAGCATTTCTATTTTCCAGTTTGTCCTGCATTTCTTGTCTGTGCCAGTTTTGAAGCCAAAGCCATCTAGGTGGTCACTGGTTTCAAAATTGGTACAAAATGGAAGAGTAGCGTGTGAATACCAACACGACAACACTTGCAACCTGGAGACTTTGGAAGCTCAACTTGAGGCCATTGAGAATAAAATGGAAAGCATATTTAGGTGCTTGATTAAACTAAGGAGCTCTCTCCTAAACATCATCTCTTGCTAAGCAATTGTATAGCCATACTTGTATATAATCAATTTTGTAGTTACTCAAGACAAACACAATACAAAAGTGAAAGTTTATACTCCAACTTGCATCTATGATCTATGTCCTCACTTATGTTTATCAAGCCCTCCCCAGTTCCTTTAAACAGATTCCTTTAACATTATGCATTTTGCATAATTATTATCATTGAGGGCATCAAGATAATGATCCATTCATGCACTTAAATAAAAAGCATATCTTCATACTGTGCTTTAAGCACCTTATCCATTTTATTAATCAGATCAAATCAGTATGGCAGGATTCATTTCCTCGGTAACCATATCCAGTAAACTGATATTTTCATGCTTTAAAAGCATTAATTTTACTAGGTTTGTTTCAGGCATCATGCCTGCCTCTTGCCTTTGCAAAGCATCCACCAATACTTGGACGCAGTAACAAAACTCACCACCACTCTCTGCTCTTTCCACGAACAGAGATCATAAAATCTCAAAACCGACTAGACAGACATGCTTTACTACAACTGTTTGGTGTGTGCTACAGAAAAAGTTGAAGGAAGTTCACAGGTTTTATGAGAATTACTAATGCAGTAGCATTGGATGTCATCCTAACATCCGTGGAATAAAAATCCGGTGGTAGGGTTCTGAACCCCCATTTTCTTGGTTGCTTCTTTGCCTCTAGGGATCGGAGTAGAATACTACGACGCATCGAGGGATTCGCTACAAACACACATATATATGTAGCATTGAATGTCATCCTAATAAAGTAATAATGTTGCATTCCCATTTTATTTCACCTCCCAGTTAGGGGTCACCACGGTTCCGGTTCCGGTTCCGGTTCCGTGGATGGTGAAACCGGAACCGGAATCTTATAGTAAGGTTCCGATTTCGGTTCCGGTTCAGAATCGGTGGTTCTGGTTGGAATCGCCGGTTCTAACCGGAATTATTAAAAATAACACTATAATATTTAATTTTTTTCGGTTTGGAACTGGAACCGCCGGTTCCGGTTCCAAGATTTTACAAACCTTAACCGAAACCGTACGGACGGTTCTGGTTCGGTTCTGGTTTGCACAGTCATGGTTCCGGTTACCTGAACCGTGGTCATCTCTACTCACAGTCTCGGTAAGGCAGTAAGTAGATTCTTTATTATACCAAACACTTTCAATCATAACAGCAAGCTTAACAACTCTTCAATTTTCAGCTCTGAGCTTATAACTTTTTAACTTTTAGCTCCTAGCTTATAGCTTTTCAGCTAGGTTTGCCAATAAGAGTCGTATTGTTTTGCATAATAATCGGTCCTGGTTGTTCACTCACCGTGTCTAGTCATGCCTGGAGGGGTCCGCTGTGGTGGGGAGGATTTTTGACTAAAATAGGAATGAGACTAGACTGATTGACAAGAATGGGAATGAAATTTTTTTTAACAAAAAGGGGAAAACAGAGTTTGGGAAACGCAGTTGAGCTGAAAACCGCATTTCCCAAACTCAGTTGTGCTTGATGGCCACGTCAATAACAGCCGCATTTCCCAAATGCGGTTGTAGTATAATATACGACAACTGCGTTTTCCAAATGCGATTGTCGTGTACACAAATACGCATTTGAAAAACGCGGTTGTCGTATATTATACTACAACCGCATTTTCCAAATGCGGATATGCTTCCCGATTTCCGGTCAGCGCCGGCAGCCAAAACGCATTTGGGAAATGCGTTTTTCGAACAAAAAAACGAAGTTGCCATAATGGAATGAAATAAAAGTAAAATATGTGATGAAGAGATATAATATGCTCTGTTTAAATTCACGAAGGCAAATGGACATATTTATACCCAAAGTTGTATAATATATCTAAAAATAATAATTTTCTATTGTACAGCCCATGTGATACCTGACCCATATGGACTATCAACTTTTATGATAACACATATATTGCATGTCAATTTGGCGTGGAGACCGAGACAACCTAAGAGACTACACATGGAGCAGTCAAACGTGCAGACAGCCCCAAATGGGGCTTTGGGGCAGTCAGTCGAGACATTTTGTCTCGGTTGACTGCCCCACAATCCGTGTGCTCACAGCCCATGTGGGGTGAGCACGCGGACTGTCACGCGTACATATATACCCCATCCGTAATAGTGTAAGTTTTAGTGGACCAATGAGCTCAACCGCATTTCTCAAATGCGGTTATGTGGCTTCGAATTTCGTGCACCACTAATGTAGTACACGGCTATAAATGATGTGGTCTCCCCAGCAAAATTACTTACTATGATCATAAAACACAAACTCGTATAATGTTAGCATCCCTATTGTTTAAAGTAGCAAAGCACAAACATAATATGTGGAAGATGTGACATATATTTCTATCTTTGGAAAAAAAAAAAAAAACAAAACAAAACAAAAAATGGTAAGAATAGTAGATATATATGTATATGTTGTAAAGTTATATAAGAGTAGGTAATATGTACATGTTGTAAATTTATATATGTATATATAGTACTCCGTAAATGTTTTTTTTTTTTTTTTTGCATAAATTTAATTTTTACACCGAATTTATTTGTGTTGGAATGTAATAACTTTCTCGTTTTGATTTGTTTGATTTACAGCTACAAACTATGTGGAGTTAGAGCTTTTGATTGACTTGCAATTAAGACTCGCGATTAGCAAACAACTTGCAATTAATTCTCGCGACATATTTTTATTCCTAAAAATACGTTGCGAGTTTTAATTGAAAAGTTTATATTATTTGAGCCTTTTGGTTGGATTTGGGTGGATTTCACACCTCTCCCACACCATCATTTTCCTTGTGGTTCTTTGCCTCCTTTCAGAGATGTCAAGAATCGCCACACACATATATATATATATATATATATATATATATATATATATATATATATAATTTCACTTCATGGTTACAAGAGCTAGTGGGTCTTCTTGACTTGGAAGCAGAAAGACTGATCCTACAGACTTTGTGTTTTTGTCCGTGAAGATTGTTGCTGCTAAAAGGGCTCTTAAAAGACAAACATCCGCGTCATCTTATGTGATTTCTGCGCACAGCAACAGAAGCGATCGTTCTAATTGTAGTTGTTGTCTGTATGAGCAAGATATATGTTATAAATTTGTAAAATATATATATATATATATATATATATATATATATATACACACACACACACACACACATATACTTAATAAAATTTATGCTTTATTATGGTGTTGATCACATTTCATTTTTAACATATTTGCTATAATAAAATCAATTACATGTATTGAAAAAGGAGAAACGACTAATAAATTCATTTTATTGAGATAGGAAAAAAAATATTTCGTGAAGTGCACATTGCTATGGCTGCACTAGCCGACTGACGTAGCCGGAATGAGACTGACGTGACCGGTCGCTGTTTGATGTGATAGTTACGTCAGTTAGACTGGCGTGACTGTCAATTGTACTGACAGTCACGTCAGTCACGATAAATTGTTTTAAAAATTTGTTTTTGTTAAATTATATGCGTTAGTAAAATATGCGGGCTCACATCTGGCGGGAATAATGCATTAATATTAATTGAAAAAAAAAACTTTGACTACGGGAATGAAAATGAAATGAACAAATATTAAAAGCATTTCACACAGTGAGAATGGTTCATTAATGTAAAATCATCTCATTGACGTCGTTAATTGGTGGATTTCGCCGTATTCATTCTTCAAAAGTCAAATATTTCATGAACCTTATGCACTGTAAATGTAATGTTACCGGGATCAAACCGTCGAGTATTTCTCCTTCCACCAAATTGATTAAATTCTCTCTTTGGACTGTAAGAGTCGACGCTAAATAAGTAACATTCGAAAATGAAGAATCCTGTATGTCGAAATAGGACAATGTCTTCAGGGTATAAATTATTTTCCGTCTTGAACTCACTAATTCCTGTTGTAAATTGCATATCTTCGATATAAACTTTTGTCCATGCGCTATGATGCCACAATATTGCTTTTGTCGTTAGGTGTTGCATTAGATGGCGGTGCATACAATTTGGAATTCTCTATTATACAAGTGTATACAGTATGTCAGAATGAAAGTAGTGTTGCAATTAGTGTTAAAATGAAAGTAAATTGATAACTAATTACCATGTGTAGGTAAGATGTAACTAGAATAGTGAACCAAGTCGTAGCATAGTAACTCACATCAGGCATATGCATTAGATCGTTGCAAGCTAGTAACAAAATGAAAAAACATAAATGAATCTTATCGGCATTATTAATTAATAAAATGCGCTAAAACTTACGTGAAGGGAAACATATTTGTTGCAGACATTCAAATATGACCAAAGCATATCGTTTTGCATCTTCTATATTTGCAAAAATCATTGATTCGGGCACGGGTAAACCTAACATCAGTAGATATCGACCCCAACCACGAGTGGGATAAGATACAAAAGTATCACAGGGTCTTCGATCTACACTTGCATACACAATTTTTCTTCCATGGATGGTTATTGCCTGATACAACAGTCGATGACAAAAGAGAAGAGTGAGTCCAAGAAGTATTTCAAAATCATCGAATAGATCCATTGTTTATCACAGAGTAGAAAGAAGGAGAGCTATAATTTCTTTTAGACGATGATGAAATCAGTAGTAGTTATATTGGGGTGGCCTTATATATATATATATATATATATATATATATATATATATATATATATACTAGTTTTTTTTTTTTTTACGCGCATTGCACGATTGGCATAATGCCCAATGTTTTTTTAAATAAGTATTTAAGTATATAAATGCAAGATTATATTGGAATTGTTCATGCATAGATAATTGAATGTTGAATTTGCGTATTTAAATAGGTAATTCTAAGTTTACAAATGCAAGATAATATAGTCAAAATTGATTATAATTTTCAATAAAATAATTGTATAGGTATGGTTGAAACCAAATACGTGACATAAGGGAGAGCAAATAAAAATTAGGGCATAAAATATTAAATATATACTAATATTGAAGAGCTAACTGCTGATTGCCAAACAAGGACATTGCGAGGTAGTTTCCCACTTCAATTTGCTGTGCGATTAGAATACTATTTTTGTCAATAAATCCCCCAAGTAGTTAATATGATTGACTTAATTATATCTTTTATTTTTTTATTTTTTCAAAACAATTATTATTATTATTATTATTATTATTATTATTATTATTATTATTATTATTATTATTATTATTATTAAATATATGTATACCCTTAGGTCATTTTACATGTTAATCTAAACAGCTATTTTTTTCAAATATTTGTTTACCAATCGTTGATATAATTCGCTGGTCAAATCCGCTAATATAATCCGCTAACCGCTAATTGCCAAACAAGGACATTGCGAGATAGTTCTTACTTTAATCTGTTGTGTGATTTGAATACTCTCTTTGTCAACAAATCTTTCAAGTAGTTAATATGATTGGCTTTATTAATTATATATTTTTTTTAATTATTTCATAGTATTAATAAAATACTTGGTAAATAAATATATAGCATTATTTTGTATTATAACTTTGATATTTAATTAAAAAAAAAATAGTGCACAATAAAGATAATAGACAATGTAGTGAATATAATAAATTGATGAATTTGAATGTAAAGAATTTTTACATTGGAGAAATATAAAGACAATATAACTAATAAAATTATTTCTCTTAATTAATTTATTGATAATGAATAAATTTTTTTAATAAAGACATTGTAGAGATAATGCAGCGAATATAATCAATTGATGAATTTGAATGTAAAGAATAGAGAAAAATAAAGACAATATAACTAATGAAATTATTTCTTATTTAATTTATTGATAATGAATAATTTTTTTGAATAAAGAAATTGTAGACACATAATTCTAAATTAAAGTAATGCATATGTATTTTTTTGTTGTTGTAGCTAGTAAATTATTATTTATACCAACTTTGATTGGGATGGGATTCGAACCTAAGACCTTTCTTATTGGAATCAATGAGTAAGTTAACGGTGAACTAACAGAAATTAACGGAAAAAATAATATTTAACAGAAAAGTTAATGGATAATCATATTCATTAAGGATAAATTAGGAAATCTTAAGGAAAAATTAAAATCTGATCAATCTGAGCCATTCATTTGATCAAAAAATTTGACCGCCATTTTTTCTACCTATTATAGGCCTAACTCTCTTGGGCTCTTATTAGTGTGTGTGTGTGTATATATATATATATATATATATATATATATATATATATATATATATATATATATATATTATAATAATAATAATAATAATAATAAGCAGGGCCGTGTGGTTTCTTGATGTCCGGACTAAACATAGAAACTCTATAATTCGGACAAATATGAGAATATAGCAAAAAAAAAAAATTGTCTGCGTTTGAGAAATGCGGTTATGTGGTGGCTTCGAAATCCGTGCTTAAGCCGGACAAACATAGACCACATCCGCAAAATAGCAAAAATGTAACTAAATCACATTTGGGAAATGCAGTTATGACGACACCCCATCCCCAAACCGCATTTGAGAAATGCGATTTTGTGTGGACTAGTTTTGTTTCGAAATCCGTGCTATAAGCATACCAGTAGTAGAGGTCTATCAATTCAGTTGTCTAAAGAAGCAAATATCAATGATAACATTTGGAAGTTTGCATATATTTCTACCTATGGGGAAAAACAAAAAGAAACGGTAAGAAGAGTAAATATATTTATATGTATGTATGTTGTAGTAGTAAATTTATGTATGTATATATAGTAAATGTTTAATTTTTATTTAATTGTTACCCAGTATTTATTTGTTTTTGAATGTAATGAATTTATCGTTTTCATTTGTTTGATTTATAGCTTCAAATTATGCGGATCTACACCTTTTGATGGTAAAAGTCATCCGATTAAGTCCCGCGATTAACAAACATCATGCGATTAAATCTTGCGACATATTTTTATTTGTAAAATATGTTGTGAAATTTAATTGAAAATTATATATTTGTATTTTCAAGTCGGGGTTGAATTAGCCAAGTATTCAACTTTAATGCCGCTGCCTAAGATCCCTACTTGTACTGGATGTAAGCTGAAATTAAGCAAGGAAGCGTTCGTTGCAGTTGCAGTTGTTGTCTGTATGAACATTGTCCCCATTGATGTCAAAAAAAAGATGGAGTTAATTCAACTCACTGAAGGAGATGATGAAACTTCTTGGATTGCTGAACCCTCAGGTATGTTTTCTATCTGCTCAGCTTATAACTTGATTCATGGACATGCCTTGTCTGTGCAGACCCCCATCTGGAATAATCTGTGGAAAACAAAAGTACCCTCTAAAATGAAGACTCTGTTATGGACTGCCCTCCATAATAAAGTCTTGGGGAATGCTGAACGAAGAAGGAGAGGTTTCACTATGAATGGTGATTGCCAACACTGCCCAAACCAGGAAGAGACGACGGAGCACATCTTCCGGACCTGTCCCAAGGCGGCGGATGTCTGGGAAACTCTACAGGAGATCCTTGGCGATTGGACGAACACCCAAGCAAATTTCAAAGATTGGGTAGCGAGCAACATCCAGCCGACTAGGAAGAGGACGGACGGGTTTAACAAGCCAACCATATTCATAGTCACAATATGGTGGATATGGAGATGGCGGAACAATAACATTTTTCGTGGTGAAGAAATTGAAACCCCGAGGAAGGCGGCATGGATCCTTGAAGCTGGGAAGGAGATTGAGCGGGCCTTTGAGCATCTCCAATCAAAAAACGACATAAGACGCAAGGGGAACGACACGAACCCCCACTGGACTCCATCGAATGTGCATGCGACAACGCTGAATGTCGACGCCAGCGTCAAACACACCACCAAAAAAGCTGGGTTTGGGGGAGTCCTTAGAACAGCTGATGGCAAGTGGTTGCGGGGCTTCATTGGTAAATCAGTCTACACTTATGCTACAATCATCGAAGCGGAGGTAATCTCGAAGGGGCTATCATGGGCTTGGAACTTGAACATCAGAGACATTGAAGTCCAGACAGATGCTGAAAGGGTGATCAACTGGGTGCATGGAGATGAAGCTTTGAGGGGTCCCATCTGTGACCACATTGAGAATATTCGCCAAATGTTGAAGAGTAATTGGAAAGTTTCCATCCGAAAGATTGTCCGAGAACATAATGAATGCGCCGATTCCCTAGCCAATATAGGCGTGATCATGAACAGAGACTGGAGCGAGCTTTCTTGGTGCCCACCTGGGCTGGAGGAGATAATTGACAACGACCGTTTGCATGCCACTTGGTCCCGAAGGGATAGGACCTAGTTTCTCTTAATTTGGGGTGTCCCCCTCCTTGTCGTTTAAATAAATAAATAAATATATATATATATATATATATATATATATATATATATATATTCTACATGTATGCATGTAACTGATGTATCAATATCCTGTGAAATTTAATTGAAAAAAGAAAGGTTGTCCCCTACTTACATGTTTGCTATTTCAAAATGAAATTCATGTACTGAGTTTTGCTGTATGATTTTTTTTTAGGGACGTGACTGTCAGTCACGTCACTGAAGCTGACTGACGTGACATGTCACGTCAGTCAGCTTCACAGTCACTTTCCGTGCCTATTTAAATCACCTTCAATCGCAACCAAATAAATGCCGTCAAGATCGTCATGGTGTTTAATAATGGCGCGGTACTTGTGGCCTTCCCTTTTCAACATCTCATCGAAAATATTACGTGGCCATTGCAACCCACCTTGTTGCATTACCAATCCAGATGTACGCCTCTCAACAAACATCAATGCAGATTTTTCGTTCGTTAGCTTTACTATCGCCGACACAAGCAAAAGACGATAACGCTTTAAACTGTTGTTGAAAGATTCCGAGCTGTTGGTCGTCATCAATCCATGTCTAAAGCCCCCATCGTGACTTAGGGACCAAAACCGTGCTGGGATTTCCATCAAGTAATTATATGTCTCTTCATCATTTGCGCAAATTAAACTCATTACAGCCTCAAACCCCCTTACATCCATAGCACAACCGGCTTGCCAAAACAATTTTTTTAATTCTTTGTTCTTAAACTTGGTCATCAAATTTGACCACAGATGTCGGCGGCAGTACCGATGCTGGACTCGCGGCTCAGCCAGTTCTGGTAATTCGCAAAATGCGACGTCGATACCACCGTGCCGATCGGAGATGATACATATGTGTTTAAGATCCCCAAACACATGTTGTGCCACCAATGTCAAGAACCAACTCCAACTATCTCCCGTTTCAACGTCAATAATTGAGTATGCAACTGGATGTATTTCTTTGTTAGCATTTATAGATAATGCTAATAGAAGGTAACCTTTGTACTTTCTGTACAAATGCGTACCATCAACCGTAAGTACGGGTAAGTAGTATTTAAACCCTTCTATAGCGGGTTTGAATGCCCAAAAAACATACTTAAACCAGAACTCATTCGGGATAGTCGTTGGCGTGCTGACAATATCAACAACAGTTTCTGGGTTTGTTTGCTGTATGGCCATTAACGTTTGTGGCAATATGTTGTAGGACTCATCCCACTTACCATACAGCGTCTCCAACACGATGACCTTTGCGTACCAAGCTTTCTTGTAATCAACACAAACACCCCATTTTGCCTTAACATCTTCGATGACGTATTTAATTTTGTATCGTAGATCCTCTACAATTTTTTGCAAAATTAGTTCCGAAATCACTTTACTGGTAAGGTTGTAGTCGTCTCCGCCCTGCGTATAATCCACACAGCATCCGTGGATATTATGAAACTTTTTTACTATCCAACCTTCGGCATTTAGAATATGCACAACACTAATCATCCACGCACATTGTTCGAGATATAAACAGGTAGCCTTCCAATATTTGCTCTTCTTGGCCGCTGTTTTGAATTGTGTATGTTGGTCAAGATTATGTTGTGTAACCATATTCTTTAACTGTCGGTAGCTGTCGAACACCATTCCAACCGCAATGGATGAACTCGCAGTTTGAAAAGCATTCCCGTATGCTGTATAATCATTGTACCATGCTGCATCATGTGTTTGTCGACCAGATGACATATCATGCATAGACGTGTTGACAGACGATTCAACCTCTTCACTTGGCACATAATCATGGTTGTCATCATCATCAGAAGGAAACAAAAATTCATCTGCGCTTGTTTTTTTTTTCGTTGTCCAAAACGGCATTATTTGCGTCACAAATAAGATGTTCCGGTTGCACCATCTGTATGTGCTCTGATTGCGTGTTTTGTACAGACCGACCAACATTACGCCTTCGTCGTTCATGTGTAATTGGAACACGGTCAATGTTGCTACCACCTTGAACAATGTTTAGATTCAATGTTGAATGGGGAGGCATTTGAAGTTTCACAAAAAGCACTAACGCCCCGAACGTGGACATCACTTCCAAAAAAAAAAAGACCACGCCTGATTATCTTTTATTGGAAATGGATAAACAACATCACCTTGAGATTGATTTGATTGAAATTTTCCCCACAATAAAATTTCGCCAACAGTATCTCCAATTTGGAGACAATTCTTTATCTCGGACACTAGCTATTCGAACGAACATGTTTCAGAGACAAACACGACATTTTGCGGAGCAATATTGAAATCAACATCATCTCTACAACCTTCATGTACTGGATGACGACATATCAACACAACAACCTGGTTACCTATAGAAAATAAAATCTTGTACATGTCACAAATATAATATAAATAATTTCATATAAATTTTAATCAATTTTTTTTTAATTCAATCATTATAAAGATGTGAAATTCATACCTGCCATTTTCCGTCAGGTAATTCCTACGAAAAAAATATACATACACAACAAAATAACAGATAAAAATTTACAAAACAAATAATGCTAATATTTACTAAGCTTTAACTAACCACCGATTGAATATGTTAACTTTTACTCTAAACTTCTTGCATCAACCATTCTAAAAAGAAAAAAAAAAAATTCTTGCAGACTCCAAGTATCCACGTTTTAACAAATTTTAAATAACATATCCAAATACATATCCCAAAATTAAATGATCTCAACGGTTAAAACACAACATTTCTTGAATATCGCAAAAACCCACATGGGCTTTCAGATTTCACTACATGCCCAACCATGCGTGACAGCCCATGTGGCTAGTACATGGCCCGCTGACAGCCCCAGGGGCTGTGGCTGTCAGCGGATTATATGGGATGTCGTAATGACAGCCCCATGTATGATAAAGCCGTTATAATTTTATTTTTTTGGATGTATTATACAACTTCGGTTATAAATTGTTCCATTTGCATTCGTGATTTCAAACACAATATTTAGTTATGAAGAATTACATGTTTTATTTTCCTGAATTTCAATATAGAAAATCCGTTTTTTTTTTCGATTTTAAAGTTTCAAAAATGTTAAAGATTTTATCGCACTCTTATACATGTGATAATAATGTTGAATGTCATGCAATTAAGTCTCGCGAATGTATTTGAACCCAAGAAGTGGAAATGTGAAGCAATTAGGAAGGGAAAAGAGTCATCTGCCATTGCTTTGCGCCTGTTGATTGGGTTTGAGGAAAGAGCAAGTGCTTGTTATTACGGTGCCGGTTACGATCACAATTGTCTGCTCTTGTTTTGCGCCTTTTTGCTGGGTTTGCGGTGAGTTCCAAACCACTTATTGCCCTTATATAATTTTTTTAATAGACCCATTGGGTCTCGACAATTTTTTGTTTGACATTATGAGACCCAATGGGTCTACCCTCGTCAAACAAAGGCCGCTGATAGCCCGCCCATGTGAGGGCTGTCAGCGGCTTTCCTAATTTCTGCACAGCCCACATGGGTTGTCACACACTCAACCACATCTACATGGGCTATCACACACTTATTTAATAAAGATGTTATTTTTTTGGTTGTTTGTCCGTATTTTTTTTCCCTATAAATTTCAACTATCCCACATCAATTTTGACATTGATCTTTACACTCAATCTGTTTTTTCTATTTTGTACAAAATATGGCGACGAAGATTTTGCTTACATTTTCTCAACTTTCTCTTAACTTCTTGTCACCATCCTTTGGTTGTCAAGGACAAGTTTATTGTCATTCGATTAAATCTCGCGCACTTGTGATTGTGCTTAGGGATTGAAAGTTTGATATTTTTTCCTAGGTTGTTACGTTGTCGAGATGCTCCTCAATCAAAGTTCCAATGACAACGAGGGGTTGTTCTTTTGTCACAATAGTAGCCTGACATTTTCAATGACATGTTCCTTCAATTCCAAATCCAAAGAGGAGATTATTCCTTCGTGGCCCAGATTTTGTAACCAGACATGGAATGCGCTCCGACATGGGCTTGCCTTTGATGGATTTGAAACTCTAATTTTTCTAAAGACTAATTTCCTAAAGAGTTTGCACTTACAAGGCATTTAGGGGATGTGCCCGGTTGGGTTGCATAAACATATTTGGATTCAAGTTAGAAGACCGCCTGTTTTATTGTAAAAACAATTGCGGGACTTAGATCAATATTTTGTCATTTATTCAAAATATTATTAAATGTGTAATTTCAAGCTATGAAAATTGTAATCCTATACTATATGACTTATATATGCCATGTACTCGACAATTTATTTATTAACAATACGCAAAATATTTTAATTAAATACTATATCATGAAATGTGCATATACAAATGTCATGTTGAATTTTTTACGGCATTCTCATAAAAAAAAACCACAAATTACAAGCAAATCTTATGTTTACAAAATTTTTGATATTGATGTTTTCTTATCTTTAGTTTTAGTTGTGTGTAGTTTCATACAACAAACATCTTTCAGTTTCTTATTTTCTTATGAATTTTGTTCTAAAATCGAAATTCATAATGTCTTGTTAAATACACACATATATTCATTCTAATCAAAGTATCAAACTCTACTCTACTTAGGTTCATAAACAATTCAATATGTAAATGTAGATTTCCGGATAACTAGACGCGCGTTGGACTTGCGAATTATACGCCACTTTGAAAAATATTATGGTCGCCGGAAACCGGGGTGAAATGGGGACATGTTTCCCGCCGACCAAGAACCATATCCGCATTTGGGAAATGTGTTTCGAAAAACGCATTTCCCAAACGTGTTTTGGCCGCCGGCGTCGGTTGGGAATCGGGAAGCATCTCCGCATTTGGGAAATGCGATTTTAGTATAATATACGACAACCGCGTTTCCCAAACTGCGTTACAAATTGTGTGTGTTACAACTTTAGTTTCGACATCACTGTGTACTGCATTTTACAAATTTCAATTGGTGTTAGAGCCAAACTGCTTAAGTTATTAGTAGGATCCTAATGGAGTTTTCCAGAGAATGACTGTCAAGCACCAGGCCCCCCTGCCCTCTTTTGTACAAATTTCTCCTACTGGAAAAGCTATAATGAAAATATATATTTTGGCACAAGGAGAAGGAGTATGGAATGCTATAGAGAACGAGAGGAAGGATCCAGTTGATAATAAAGGTAATCGAAAGCCTAAAATCAACTGGAGCAATGAAGAAAGAAGTGAATATGATTTCAACTCAAAAGCAATGAACGCCATCTATGGAGCGGTAAGTGAAGATACTTTCAAACTAATCGCTACCACTGGCATAACTAAAATTGCATGGGACATATTATGCAATCATCACGAAGGAAACACATCTGTCAGGCAATCCAAGTTACAAATGATACAAACAGAGTTCAAAAATTTAAAAATGGGAGAAGAGGAAAACATTACACAATTTAGTGCAAGAGTCTTAGAAATTGCCGGAGATGCGTTCAACTTAGGCGAACCTATTCCTGAACATAGGCTCGTCAATAAGGTTCTACGCTCTCTACCTGAGAGATTCATGATAAAAGTTACAGCCATCCAAGAAAACAAAGATCTAAACACCTACAAACTCAGTGATTTGATGGGGAATCTTCAAGCATATGAGCTTGAGATACTACAAATCAAGAAAAATAATGACAAAGAAATTGCGTTCAAATCAAAGCAGGAAGAGAGTTCAGAAATTGATACCGACACCATGGAGCAGTCAATTGCTCTTTTTAACAAAGAACTTCAACAGAGTTCTCAAGAAATTCAACAGGTTTAGGAACAAAAAACCTTTGAATAATCAAGGGAGCTTCACACCTGGATAAACCAACCTACTACAAAAAGAAGAGATAACCAAAATCCCAAAATGGTACACTGCTATGAGTGCAAAGAGTTTGGACACATTCAGTCCGAGTGTCCAACATATCTAAAAAGGAAGAATAAGACCTATGTGACAACCCTAAGTGATGACTCAGATAGTGAAGAAGATACCAACACTAATTTTGTAGCCTTCACAACAAGTCACAAAGATGATGAAGAAAACGGAGATGATCTACGTGAACTATTAGATTCTCTTATACTCAACTGCATGCAAAATGGGAACAGATCATCCTAGTAAATCTAGGTCTCAGCAAGAAAATCGGTTTCTAAAAACCGAAAACGAGAGAAAGGAAAAATTCCTCAAAGAGACTCAAGAAGAACTAATAGAAACACAAAAACGAGAGGCCAAGTTAATACAAGAAGTTAAAGTGCTCACAGAAAGGCCTAAGTCACCAGTCATAGCATCGGATGAAAGTTATACAACTAAAAATCTTGAAGTGTCACAACATCACGTTCGACATCGAAGGAGAATCAGATGCTACTACTGTCACAGGCTGGGTCACATAAAAGCATACTGTTATAAGAGGCAAAATGATCTTCAATAGAGGCAAAATTGCAGAGCTTGGGAAGACCATAATAAACATGTTAACAAGAAAGTATGGGTAAGAAAGGAACAAGCACAAGTTGTCACGTATACCTCAAAAACAAGCCAAGAACAAAGTGTTTGGTATTTTGACAGCGAATGTTCAAGACATATGACAGGAAATCCACATTATCTTGAGAACATCCAGTACAAGAATGAAGGGCATGTCACTTTTGGAGATGAAGGAAAAAGACAGATTATCGCAAGCGGTACCTTGAATGTCCATGGACTGTCCAGATTACCAAGAGTCTTTTTGGTACAAGGACTCAAAGCAAACCTTATCAGTATAAGTCAACTGTGTGATGATGAACTCAAAGTAGAATTTTCCAAAGAGAATTGTAAAGTCTACCACCAAAAACATGAATGTGTTATGATGGGAAAAGATCATCTGATAAACGCTACACATGGGATGACGATCTAACCTGTCATTAATCTACCATCAATCAAACACCACTGTGACATCAACTAAGGGAGAGAAAGACAGAGATCAAGGTTTTTGCCAAAAATTTGACAAAGGGGGAGAGTGTTGACTCAAAGTATTTTGTCAATGTTATGTGCAAAAAAAATTCCAGTTCTATAAAGGAATACCAGTCCTAAGAGGAATAGTTATTGAAGAATACTAGTTCTAAGGGGATTTGTTGTTGAAGATTTTCTAGTTCTATTTTGATTAGGAATAACTTTGTTATACACGAATCTGTTAGGAGTAGCTACTATAAATAAGGGTTGTCCTTTATTGCAGATCTCAGGGCCTTCAACATTAATCTTGTGAGGTCTGAGAGTCTTTGAGAATATGATACTAAATTCCCCTAGAAAGTAGTACATGTGTTTAGGTTTCTATAGTTTGGTAGGAAAGATCATTCTATTGTGTAATTTCAGGTTCCAAACAGTGTACTTTAAATATTGAGCTTTTAGTGGATTTAGGCAAATTCTAAAATTGAGAGGTGCCTCACAGATTAAGGTTGTTTGCCCAAATTGCGTTACAAATTGTGTGTGTTACAACTTCAGTTTCGACATCACTGTGTGCTGCGTTTTACAAATTTCAGTATTATTTTTTGTTGTAGCTACTAATTTATTTAATTTAATAAAAGTAATAATGTGGCGTACATACTTTTCATCAACAATAATGAATTCATTGATTTTTTTAATTTACATTCGTTGTTGAGACAAATTGTTTTGAGAGTTTGTCAATGACAATTGTTACAATTCCCGTCAATAGAGGATGATAATAAATAATTCAAAATATATAGTTACAATAGATATTGTTATAATGGTATAGTAAAAATTAACTTACAAATTTCTTTAGAAGTTTTCGTGCATTGATAAAATTACGATGTGTAAACTTGTTCAACTGGAGCCAGTGGAATGTCAACATTGTCAATTATTTGGAAAATGGTCCTACCGTTTTAGAGTCCAAGTGTAATTGTATTTATGAGCAACAACTTTGTAGTTAGGTCGCACATGTCTGACAATGATGTAAGAACAATTTTGTTCGATAAAAACATTAATAGTATAATATTTGTAAAATAATGTACAAATGTACCATTATAAAAATATATACAAAAAATATTAATACCATAATGACCTAAATCATTCCAATAATGCAAAAGTATAATTGAAATATTAAGTTTTGTTCTAATCTAAATAATCAAAAGAAGATTAATTAAACAAAAAAAAAAAAAAAAAAAACCTAAATTTGTCGTTTTTTAAAATGCATTAAAATCAAATGATTTTTAAAGTTCTTGATTTATAATTTTTGATGCTTAACTTTGAATGTTATGTATTTAGTTGTACTAATTATTTGACCAAAGTTTATGTTAAATTTTATATTATATATATTTTTAATATATTTAACATATTCGTAGTATATGTTTAACAATTATGCCAACTCTAGTTGATTCGAACTTAAGACCTTTCTTATAGAAATTAATAAGTAAGTTAAAAATAATAAATAGTTAACGGAATATTCCGTTACTAAAGTTTATACTAACGGAATTTAGGTTATTTAAGGGAAGAAAATAATATAATAGAGGGTAAATAAGGAAAATCATTAAAAAAAATATTAAAATCAAAATAATATGAACCATTCATTTTAAGAAACAATACTATCGACATTTTTTCGTTCCAGGGGCCTAACATTATTGGCTCTTATTAGAACTGTAGATGTAGATGTAGATATACTAGTTTCTTTACGCGCTTTGCGCGAATGGGATAATGTCCAATAATTATTTTTAAATAAGTATTTCAAAGTATATCAATGCAATATTATATAAAAGATGTTCATGCATAGGTAAATAAATGTTGAATTTGTTTATTTAAATCGGTAATTTAAAGTATATAAATGCAAGATAATATATAAGATATTGATTATAATTGTCACTAAAATAAATATTTTCAACTTTGTAATAACGCTAGTCTAATATTATTAGCTCTTATGAGATTTGTATATATATACAAGGTCATCAAATCCTAATGTGTTAATATTATGTAACTGCAGTATTTGAAAGGAACTTGTAAATACAAAACAAGGTAATCAATTACATATATGTTAATATTGTGTGTTCGTACTTCGTAGTATACAAATTGTGAATTTTTGAATGGTAAATTGTGAACATTTGGACTCGGGTCCACGAAATAATTTGCGATCATATTAAAACTAGGCTTTGTACAAGATAAACTAGGTTTAATCCTATCAAAACTCCAATAGTTATATCGTGGACCAAGGTCCACAGTGCCCGTGGACCCTGGTTCAATACACATAATTCATGTTCATAATGCACATAACCCGTGTTTATAATAACATACACATAAACACGATATAATGAACATGAGTTATGTGCATTATGAACATGAATTCTGTACTTTATGAAGTCAAATTTTGTACATTGGACCCGTGCCCACAATATAAATTGCCCCGCAAACCCGCTTGGGGTGGGAACCCTAGCCTGCAAAAGCCCGCCATAAATTAGGCCCGGGGTAGGACGGGCCTAATAAAGTGGACCGGCCCGCTTTGAGAGTACTACATGTAATTTACGCTTTTATCACATTTTTGGCCCCAAACTTTTTGGAGACAATGACTGAAATAGACAATTTTCAATAGACAATGACAAAATAAGAAGCTTTTTAAAAGTGTATAATATTAAAGAAAAAAGCTCATTAGTGACATGCATCTCTTGTCAGAATCATATCTTGTAAGGTTGAGTTGCTATTGTGTATGTACACGAGGGTCCTCCAACCAAGTATAAACAAGCCACGTATGTTTTGGGAGGCGAATTGAAGTAGCAAAAATGGCGAGATGCCTGGATCTAAGAACAGTAAAGAAATGATTGTCAGAACACAAAAACTACAGATGATGAAGTTTATTATAACTTTTTGTAACCCAAAGGTGTGACAATCTCACCGGACTTGCTGCAGGAAACCACATGGTTACCACCATTGATCTGAGCTATTACATTACACGCCTTGTCTCCCATCAAAATTGTTTTTTCTATGGAAGTCACAAGAGATTATTAAAGTCAATTTTCTTTCCATCACCCTTGCAATTTAATGCCTGGCAGGCAGGAGGAAACATAATCTTCACCAGCTCAATACTGATACACCTACTAATCATTCTGTTAATATGAAGATTAAAGAAATAGGAAACTGTATTATAAGTTTAGTTAGTGAAACAAAAATGCAGAACCCATTTCGTAAAATCAAAGAAATTTGGATGCTGCAACCACATGCAATGGTGATCATATTCTTATAACAACCAGGCTAATATATAATGTTAGTCATGTCTGCAATGTGTCCTACTATATAGCCTATACAGAATTAAAAATTATAAATGATCAGAGTTTGTTGGCAAAATAAATAACAGGTTGGCTAAGTTCAAGGAATAGCACATTGCATCACATGCTCACCACATTGCTATTCCTATCTCCATACCTTCCAATCTGCCAATATATAACCAAGCCTAGGGCTTATTCTAGCCACAACACAAGCTTGAGTTTACTTTCCTGTTACAAAGAGAGAAAATACAACAATGGCAAAACCCAACCACATCCGATCTATTAGCTTTCCCAGCAGATCACATCCAAGCATCCAGAAAGTGGAAGAAGAGCTGACAAAGCTCAAAACATTACAAGTATCAGCCGCTCCAGAAGCTGCTACAATCAGCAGTGGTCTTCTTGGATTAGAACAGCTTTACAAGTGCATGGATGATCTTCTTAACTTGCCACAAACCCTTCAAGCTCTCACTCAATATCAAAACAAGAAGTGGGTTAATGGCATATTGGAGAAATCGATAAAGCTTCTTGATATTTGTGGTCTAGCAAGAGACAGCATCTCTCAGTTGACGGAACATTTGAGAGATCTCCAATCTTCCCTAAGGAGAAGAAAAGGAGACTCAAGTATTGAAGCCAGATACACTTCATTCATAAAGAAGATGAACAAGGATGCCAAAAAGTCAATTGCAGCTATAAAGAAAATCGATGATGAGATTGATGGATCCACACCCTTAGATGTGCATCGTGACATCTCATCAGTGATCAAAGCACTAAGAGAAGCAAGTGCAGTGAGCACTTCTATTTTCCAGTCTGTCCTGCTTTTCTTGTCTGTGCCAATTTTGAAGCCTAAGCCATCTAGGTGGTCACTGGTCTCAAAGTTGGTACAAAATGGAAGAGTAGCATGTGAATACCAACAAGAAAACACTTGCAACCTGGAGAATTTGGAAGCTCAACTTGAGGATATTGAGAACAAAATGGAAAGCATATTTAGGTGCTTGATTAAATTAAGGAGCTCTCTCCTAAACGTTATCTCTTGCTAAGTAATTGTATAGCCATACTTGTATATAATCAATTTTGTAGTTACTAAGGAGAAATACAATACAAAGTGAAAGTTTTTACTCAAATTTGCTTCAAACTCTCCTCTCATGTGTATGAAGCCTCCCCCAGTTCTTTCAAGGGACCTGTTAACAGTAGACATTTTCATGAATATAATCAAACAAGGCATCAAGATATTGAGCCATTTGTGCACTTTTTTGGTACAAATCATATCTTCATAACTAGCTTTAACCAAGTTATCTGTATTATGTAATCAGATCCATTCAGCATAGCATGATTCCTGTTCTGGGTGATCATACACTTTAGCTTTATTATCTTATGGGGTTTTTTCTAACTTCAGAAGGGCCTATTTCAGATATCATTCGTCCTTCCTCTGCAAAGTGTTAACCACTCCCTCTGGCCAATCAGTATCATACCTGAGATATCATACCTATCTCAGGTATGAAGTGTATTCATTAAGTTAATGCTGTGGGGAAAAGCAGAAGATGCAGTAGTCTTGGATTTCATTCTAACTTCTGTGAAATAGACATCTTATGGTTGAGATTTCCAAACAGGGAATTTTTTGGTTTCTTCGTTTCATACAATACATAAAACTCAACTCAGTACAATGATCCTGAACTAAATTACATTCCAAACTAATAATAGGACAATATTTAGGTAAGAACAAAAGACCTCAGTCCAAATCATGAATCATATCTTTTTTTTATAGTTCTTAACCATCATATCTGACATATAGTAATTAGTTAGTAAGACCACAAACTCCAACCGGCCATACATGCACGAAATTTATTATTCCATTCACTTGTGCAAAATTATGTTATGGATCTTCTGTAATTTGATAAATCTTCCTGAGCTAATTTTTTTGAACATGTTATGGTTATGTTGTCATTGATAAAATTAAGGTGCTAAGTAATACTCTTCTAATGCTGGCAAGAGGAAACATGATCTTCACCAACTCAATATTGATAAGCACCTACTATTCTGTAATGGTGAGGATAAAAGAAGTATGGAACTGTGTAATAAGAGCCTGAGAACCAGGTCATGTGTCTTCTATAGCCAATAATGAACGTGTAGTAGGGAACATGACAGCAAGGCATCTATAATGTGCAAAGATTAATTTATTCATAATCCTCGTGCATCTATAATTCATTCAGTACTATATATTCTATCTTCATTTCAAATTTTGAACAGATTTACTATCAATATTTTAACAAATTCTCCATTATCTTGTAGATGAATGAAGCTCGTGCAAAGAGACAGACAGAATAAGCCATGCGTGTTTCAAATAATTAAATACAAGAGTGGATCAAATTGTATTGACCATAATAATTGAAGAGAAATGTGGCACAGTGCCTTGAGGCAGACAGGAAGCAACAAACCTTTTATTAATGCAGTTGAGAAGAGATTCCAAATCATTCAATTCTAACCCTGTAAGGAATAAAGAAATGGGTATGATTATAGTCTTGTTGGCAAAATAATTAGCAGGCTTACCAAGAGCCACATTGCACCACATGCTGATCACTTTTTTATTTATATAGAATAGTGGAAATCCTGTCTCCTTGCTTTCTTATCTGCCGATATATAACCAAGCCAAGTTCTTTTTCTAGCCATGCAAGGTTGAGTTTACTTTCATGTTAAAACAAGAGAAGAATACAAAGAATGGTAAAATCTGACCACATCCGGTCTATTAGTTTTCCCAGCAGATCGCATCCAAGCATCCAGAATGTGGAAGAAGAGCTGAACAAGCTCAAAACGTTACAATTATCATCCAGTCCAGAAGAAGCTAAAATCTGCAGTGGTGAGCTTGGATTTGAACAGTTTTATGAGTACATGGATGATCTTCTTAACTTTCCAGAAAGAAGTAGAGCTGAACAAGCTCAAAACACTACTAGTATCAACCAGTCCATAAGAAGCTACAATCTGCAGTGGTATTCTTGGATTAGAACAGCTTTAAGACATCTCAATTGCAATTAGAGTACTAAGAGAAGCAACTTCACGGAGCATTTCTATTCTCAACAGCTTTCTGCTTTTCTTATCTATGCCGGTTTTGAAACCAAAGTCATCTAGATGGTCAATTTTGTTTCAAGGATGGTACACAATGGAAGAGTAGCATGTGAAGACCAACAAGACAAAATATGCAATCTAGAGAATTTGGAAGCTAAACTTGAGGTCCTTGAGAAGAAACTGGAAAGCATTTTTAGATTGTTGATTAAATTAAGGAGCACTCTCCTAAACATGGTTTCATGCTAATCAGAAATTGCATAGGTATATATACTTGTACATAATCACTTAAATAGTTACTCAAGAAAAATATAGTACAGAAATTAAAATTGATATTCCATTATTCATCAACCTTCCTCTATGCAGAGTTTCAAGTGCACCTAATTTCCACAAATGAAATGAAAAAGCTGGAAGGTTCAAACCAATAGCTCAAATTGGGGTTTTCGAAACAATTAAAACAGAGTCTCCTGATTGTATCTAAGTATCAGTATAGCATGGTTCATGTTTCCAGGTAACTTTAGGAACTTGGACATTTTGTATTCGTATATATCAGTGAATTGTGATTTGAATATTGTTGTTATAATCTAAGTTTGAACCAGGTCACTCAATTGGGTATAATGCACATGAGCCAAACCACACTAAAAGATCGAATCCAATCAATTAGTTAGTCTAACCCATGGCCTTATAAACCCATATATATTCTCTCTTATTTTTTCAATGTGGACTCTTAAAAACTTGTCAAGATTATGCTCCCCTGATGTGAATTCGGCAAAGTTGCTATGGGGTATCAACCTTCTGATGTCTGTCAGGCAGGAGGAAACATAATCTTCACCAGCTCAATACAGATACTCCTACAAATCATTCTGTTAATATGAGGATTAGGAAACTGTATTATGAGTTCTGTTGGTGAAAAAAAAATGGTGACCCCATTTCCCAAAACTAAATAAATTTGCAGGCTGCAACCACATGCAATGGTGATCATATTCGTATAACAACCAGGCTAATATAATGTTAGTCATGTCAGCAATGTCTCCTTCTATATAGCCTATACTGAATAAATAATTGTGAATGGTTAGAGTTTGTTGGCAAAATAATTAACAGGTTGGCTAAGTTCAAGGAATGGCACATTGCATCACATGCTCACCACATTGCTATTCCTATCTCCATACCATCCAAGCTGCCAATATATAACCAAGCCTAGGGCTTATTCTAGCCAGCACAAGATTAAGTTTACTTTCCTGTTAGACACAGAAAAAATACAACAATGGCAAAACCCAACCACATCAGATCTATTAGCTTTCCCAGCAGATCACATCCAAGCATTCAGAAAGTGGAAGAAGAGCTTACCAAGCTCAAAACATTACAAGTATCAGCCGCTCCAGGAGCTGCTACAATCAGCAGTGGTCTTCTTGGATTAGAACAGCTTTACAAGTGCATGGATGATCTTCTCAACTTGCCACAAACCCTTCAAGCCTTCTCCCAAAATCAAAACCAGAAGTGGGTTGATGGCTTATTGGAGAAATCGGTAAAGCTTCTTGATATTTGTGGTCTGGCAAGAGACTGCATCTCTCAGTTGAAAGAATATTTAAGAGATATCCAATCCTCTCTAAGGAGAAGAAAGGGAGATTCAAGTACTGAAGCCAGCATCAATAGATACACTTCATTCATAAAGAAGATGAACAAGGACGCCAAAAAGTCACTTGCAGCAATAAAGAAAATCGATGGTGAGATTGAAGGATCCACATCCTTAGATGTGCATCGTGACATCTCTGCAGTGATCAAAGCACTAAGAGAAGCAAGCGCAGTGAGCACTTCTATTTTCCAGTCTGTCCTGCTTTTCTTGTCTGTGCCAGTTTTGAAGCCTAAGCCATCTAGGTGGTCACTGGTTTCAAAATTGGTACAAAATGGAAAAGTAGCATGTGAATACCAACACAACAACACTTGCAACCTGGAGACTTTGGAAGCTCAACTTGAGGATATTGAGAACAAAATGGAAAGCATTTTTAGATGCTTGATTAAATCAAGGAGTTATCTCCTAAACATCATCTCTTGCTAAGCAATTGTATAGCCATATGTGTATATAATCAATTTTGTAGTTACTCAAGACAAATACAATACAAAAGTGAAAGTTTATACTCCAAATTGCACATATATCTCTCCTTTTATGTGTATCAAGCCCTCCCCTGTTCTTGCAAAAGATCTGTTAACAGTATACATTTGTATAAATATAATCCAAGAGGGCATTAAGATTTTGAGGCATTCATGCACTTTGATGCAAATCATATCTTTCACAACTTGGCTTAACAAACTTATCTATATCAGTAATCTTATCCATTCAGTATAGCATGATTCATTCTGGGTGATCATACAATGGAACTATAATATTTACTTTTTAGCTTTATTCTCTTAAGCAATTTCCAAACTTCAGATTTCAGAAGCATAATTTTCCTAGGTTTATTTCAGATATTATTCAGTTTGCCCCTGCAGAGTGCTAATCACTTCCTCTGACCAAAATGTTAAAATTACAAGCTGGTTAACTAGGATGGAAGTCACAAGACTCATCACCACCCTCTGCTCTTTTCAGGACCTTGGATCCTCCAAATGTCAATCTGAAAATATATACTTTCCTGCAGTTGTTTCATGAACTTGTTTGTGCTACACACACAAAAAAAAAAAAAAAAAAAAAAAAACACACACACAGAATTGGTTGGATTCAATCTTTTAGTGTGATTTGGCCCATGTGCACTATAGCTCAGTTGAGTGACCCTGACCCAAGCTTAGATTATAACATACTCAAATTTGCCTCTATCTCTCCTCTAATGCGTATCAAGTCATCCCCAGTTCTTGCAAAAAGTCTGTTAACAATAGACCTTTGCATAAATATAATCAAAGAGGGCAGCAGGATATTGAGACATTTGTGCACTTTGATACAAATCATATCTTCATAACATGCTTTAACCAGATTATCTGTATAGTAATCAGATCCATTCAGCATAGCACGATTCCGGTTCTGGGTGACCATACAAAGGAACTATGACATTTACTCCTTAGCTTTATTATCTTATGGGGTTTTTCCTAACTTCAGAAGCATAAATTTTCCTAGCTTTATTTCAGATGCCATTCATCTTAACTCTGCAAAGTGTTAACCACTCCCTCTGACCAATCGGTAAAATTAGAAGCCAGAAGTTATTCAGGTTAGCTAGGACAGAAGCCAAAGCACTCATCACCATCCTCTGCTCTTTTCATGACCTTGAATCCCCAAATGTCAATCTGAATAGATATACTTTCCTACAATTGTTTCATGAACTTGTCTGTGCTACATAAAATGCTGAGTTTGGAAGGAAATTCTTAAGTTCTCATGAGAGCTGTTTTTTCTACACTTGTGACTTGTGAGTCATATTTATATGTAAAAACCATGGAATCTCACGTATGAAGTGTATTCATTAAGTTAATGCTGTGGTGAAAAGCGGAAGATTCAGTACTATTGGATGCCATTCAAACTTTTGTGGAATAGAAATCTTGTGGTTTTGTTGTCATTGATAAAATTAAGGTGCTAAGTAATACTCTTCTAATGCTGGCAAGAGGAAAAATGATCTTCACCAACTCAATATTGATAAACACCAACTAATTATTCTGTAATGGTGAGGAGACAAGAAGTATGGAATTGTGTAATAAGAGTCTGAGAACCAGGTCATGTGTCTTGTATAGCCAAAAATGAATGTGTAGTAGGGAACATGACAGTAAGGCATCTATAATGTGTAGAGATTAATTTATTCACAATCCTCGTGCATCTATAATTCATTCAGTACTTTATATTCTATCTTCATTTCAAGTTTTGAACAAATTTACTATCAATTTTTTAACAAATTCTCCATTATCTTGTAGATGAATGAGGCTCGTGCAAAGAGACAGACCGAATAAGCCATGCGTGTTTCAACCAATTAAATAGAAGAGTGGATCAAATTGTATTGTCCATAATAATTGAAGAGAAATGTGGCACAGTGCCTTGAGGCAGACAGGAAGAAACAAACCTTTTATTAATGCAGTTGAGAAGAGATTCCAAATCATTCAATTCTAACCCTGTAAGGAATAAAGAAATGGGTATGATTATAGTCTTGTTGGCAAAATAATTAGCAGGCTTACCAAGAGCCACATTGCACCACATGCCGATCACTTTTTTTTTTTATATAGAATAGTGGAAATCCTGTCTCATTGCTTTCTTATCTGCCGATATATAACCAAGCCAAGTTCTTTTTCTAGCCATGCAA